GGGTCACGATTCCATTCCCGGTCGGGGCACAGGCCCGGGTTGCGGCTCCATCCCCAGCAGGGGGCGTGCAGGAGGCGGCCGGTCAGTGAGTCTCTCTCTTCATTGATGGTTCTATCGCTCTCTCCCCCTCCTTTCCTCTCTGAAATCAATAAGAACATATTTAAAAAAATAAACCGAAGGTCCGCAGTTCTGCCTTCTCGATGTTTCCTCCTCAGCTGACCTTGCGTTAACCGAGCTCGTAACACAGTGACAAACGCGAGGGAGGAAGTCGACTGCTCTCCTCTCCCTGATGGCTGCTGTGATTGGGCCGCGGCCGGTGCTCAGTGGACGTGGCTTTCATGAACTAAGTTAACTTTCCAGCTCACCGTGGGGCCAGGGGTACAGGTACGCCAGCCCCTCAATGAAGAGACTAACATGCCGGGAAATGACTGCCCCGGGCCATGATGGCAGCCACCCAAGGCACCATGGGTGTGCCCATTGCCTAAGCATCAGGGGGCAAACAGTGGGGCATTCATCTCAGGAAGGTGCGAAGGCACTTGGCCTGGCCGGAGGGCGATGCGGCCGGACAGCTGGTTAGAGGACCCATGGGTGGCTCCTATGGGCCGGCTGGGATGGAAAGGTGGAGAGGAAACGAAAATGGAGTTTCTGTATTAAGGAGAAGTAAATGCATTCTGATGTAACTGCACATAAATGGCAAGAGAAACAACAGGAATTAATGATGCCTGTGCAGGTTTCTGGCTTGAGCAGTTAGAATGAGGATTGTACGATTTCCTTAATTAAAATCACAGGACAAAGAAAAAAAAAAAAACACAAATGAAAAAAGACAGTTATAGGCCAAGGATCTGATTTTGTATATTGAATTTAGATGCCTGTAGTGGATGAGAAATGACTATTCAGGAAAACTTTTTTTTTTTTTTTTTTTTTTTGCAGCATTCTGCAAATTAGATTGAAATATCGCTAAATTCTTGGAGCCAGCTAAGAAAAGAAAAATCAGTAGTAAATGATTTTCAAAAAGGTTTTAAGGCAGGGGTGGGCAACCTTTCTGTGAGTGCGTGCCAAAACCAGCAAAATCTCTGACTCAAAATTCTTCTGCGTGCCCACCCTAATTTTTTGAGAACATGTTACACCTACTTGATATCTCTTAAGGTGTACGTATGTGAGGAAATAATAAAATTCATTCGAGCGACAAAAACACAGTATATGATGATGAAACATACATTTCTTTTTTAATGTATACATGTACACTGATAGTCCGGCAGAAAACTTTATGACTCCGTTGATATTATCAGTGGGACTTTGCTGCTGCGTCACTGATGACAGAGATTTTACATCAGGTTTATATTTCGTGACCTTCAGAGATATGCACGGGCTACTACTTTCATCCGTCAGGCTACTCCTGTTACGAGACTTAACAAAATTCATCACTGAGAGCAAAGATTCACAAGCGTAAGTGGATGAAACCAAAACACTGGTCGGATCTAGGAAGGCCGGAGAGTTAAGGCAGAGGCATAGAAATTGCTCTTCCCCTCTCTCGTCAATCCATGTCTATGGTCTTTAAGATAACTTGTTATGTAAAATTATTTATTTATCTAAGATGCACCTACACTGAATTTATCTGAAAAATAAAAAAGTCGATATTAAGAAAAAAATTGTAAATGGAAGATTATAAGAGAGGGTTTCGTGTGCCAGCAAAAGTTACTGGCGTGGCGGTACGCGTGCCAGGGGTTGCCCACCCCTGTTTTAAGGGCATCATAATGGAGGCCTTGGTTTTCACCTTTTAGCTTGACTTGTTTGTTTAGTTTGGTTTTATTGTGTATGGAATAGTTAAAGATATAAGTGTTGCATTAACAAATTGAAGCATTTGGTCATATTTCAACATTAATAATGTGTTTTTTTTAAAACTAATACTGTTGGGAAAAATGAAAGGTTTGGCAGGCTTCCTTTGACTTCATAAACATTTTTAAATTTCATGAGACTGTGTAATAAATGGTGGCAAAAGAGTATAAAATTGAGTGCATTATGCTTCTAAAATGTAAAGAGTCATTTGACTTGGAAATCAAGATTTTTATCTTTTAAAATAAAAATATGTTCAAAAGAGCAGCTCAGAAACACCTCTCACTGTTGGTAGAACTAATTAAAATGCCTTGTACACGAGCAAATCTAATCACGTCAGACGTGGAATCGTGCAGTCATTTCGGAGCATGACGTCTTCCTGCAGGACGAGCGAAGGACAGGAGCCGGCCGCGGTGACTCCTGTTTCTCAGGCGGCGTTTCTGGGCGGCTCTTTATTCTGTCACATGGCATGGCCTGTTCCCAGCTGAAAAGTATTTCCCACAGTGAGAATGGATTTCAGTCCATGTGAGAGAAGTAACTCCCTGGGGATGTAACTTGAAGGAGTTTAAGGAACATGTTGACTTTGCTCTAGTGTTTTGGAGGGTGGTTCTGTTTTGTTTTTAACAGTCTGGTCAGCGGAGTTACTTACGGTGTCTTGGGTGATTTCTTACTTCTGAGGCTAATAGTCGCACAAAATAAATAGGGAAATTACCACTTGGCTAAAAACAAAACAAAACACACACGAAAAAGAACTAATTCTGCGTTTCCTTTTTCCTCCCTCTTCCCAAGACAAAAAGACGATCTGGCAAGTCCCTGGGGGACTCGCGGCCTAGTTTCACGGTCACCTCAGCTGAGTCTTGTTGAAACGTCCTGTCCAGGGTGAACAAAGCTCCTTCCAGCGATGGAAGGATGTGATAAGACTCAGCCTTCACATTCTGAGGAAAGATAACGCTAATTATATTAGTCACATACCCTCCAACCCATTAACGCTAAGAGCACACTATATGATTTAATAAATAATGGCATTGCTGGGTAGAGAAACATTTTCTCATTAAAATTATAAACACTGCTCTAGCTGGTTTGGCTCAGTGGATAGAGCGTCCCTGTGGACTGAAGGGTCCTGGGTTCGGTTCCGGTCAAGGGCATGTGCCTGGGTTGCAGGCTAGATCCCCAGTCGGGGGCTTGGAGGAGGCAGCCAAACAATGATTCTCTCTCATCATTGATGTTTCTATCTCTCCCTCTCCCTTCCTCTCTGAAATCAATAAAATATATTAAAATAAATAAATAAAATTATGAATATCTACAAATGGCCTTAAAATGCACCCTGCTCATATTTCAATCCAAATTTTAACATTGTTGCCTTTATTTTAGATACTATTAATGGTCTGCCTATAACCCTTCTCCCTTAGACTCTCCTAAATCAACATCTTTACTTGAATTATTTCCTCAGAGTTTGTCTCTGGGGCCACCGAAAGTAAGGTGCCTTCAGTTTTGTCTCTAAAGTTGTGTTAGAAAGTGAAAAAGAATAGAATCAACGAATAGATAAATAGGCCTCTACAGAGAATTGTGTTGAAGATGGGAAAAGCTAGCTTGCAGATGGCACAGATGCAAACAGGATGAAATAAACTATTTGAGATCTGCCTTTAGTATGATTTAAGAGTAAGAAGTATAGCTCCGTCTTCGCCAGTGGCCTCTATCAAAGTTATGGAAGGAGGCAGAACAGAACAGATTTGTTTTCATATATTTTCCCCCCACCCCAGCCCCCCAATAAAAAACAAACGCTCTTGTGGTAAGAAGAGATACTAAACTCACTTCTGCTGCTGCGATTTGAATGTAGGTCAGAGGTACAGTTGAAAATACCGCATTCAGGGAAGGCACGACTGCTGGTGCCTCTGGAAGGAAAGCCCTGTTTGTTGGCATAAAATGTAAACATCTGCACCAACTGCAGTGCCTGTTCTAGCTGCATGTGAGGGCGGGTGGAGGGAGCAGCTCCCTAAATGCTTCTCCCTGGGGGTCAGAGTGGAAGTGGGGGGCAGGTAGCCCTGAGCATGAGCAGGGCCAGGGCAGGAGGGCCCCAGGGGAAGCCCAGGTGCCCAGCCATGGACAGTGGCAGGCGGGCCTCCCCCCAGGTGACCTTCCTCCCCTAGCATATGGATGGTCATGTGGTTTGACCCCCTGACCTTTCCTCCTGGAGATACCATCTAGGCCTCAATAGTATGTCAGCTCCAGGCCCAGAAAAGCAGCAAAACCAGCCCAGCTGCCCTCCGGGACCAGCTGCCTTGATCATGACCCCACCCTGGTGCCGGCCAATCAGTGGGACCGCAACCCTGAGAGGACACACCTGGAAAGGGCTGGATGTTCTACTGGATCTTCCCCGGGGCCTCCCCTGACCCCTCCGCCCGTAAACCCTAGGACAGGACCCAGAGCTCCAACCTCCCCCCACCCCCAGAACCCCCACAGGCAGTCGCCTTTACCTGCCTCGCTCCCAAGCTCCCAGGACCCTCATTTACCTCCGTAGCCTGTTTCCTAAGCCCCTTGCTTGTAGGAAGTCCGTCTTCCTCCTTGCCTCTTGCCGTGTTACACGTAAGTGCCCTCCAAGAGCCCGAGTCCTGCCTCTGACTGCTTTCCCGGCCGAACCCGTCCCCAGGCTGCTGCCCCCAGGCCGGTCTGACCCCAAGGGTCGACCCCTGGCGCCTGCCCCGCTGCCTCCAACAGAATGAAAGCTCAGATGGACAAATGCTTCCTGAAGGCAGGGCCGGGGCCTCCATCACACTGACCAGCTAATCGGAGGAGGAGGAGGAGGAGGGGGAGGAAGGGGAGGAGGGAGGAGGGGGGGAGGAGGAGGAGGAGGAGGAGGAAGAGGAGGAGGAGGAGGAGGAGGAGGCGGCTGATGGTAGTTGAGGGAGGAGGGGTGCTGTCGGTGGGTTGGAACATTGAGCGTATCACCTGGCGGTCTTGCTGTTGGCCTTATGTAGCCACCGGCTCCTCTCCCTTTTCAAAAAACATACATCCTTCACCCTGGCGCCCAGTAGGCCACTTCCTTGAACGTTCACAGGAAACGACTAGAATTTTAGAACATGTACTGCAACCTCTATATTGAGATACACATACGTGCAATTACTGATTCATTCTGCGAAGCCCAGTTTTCATGTTATTTCTTGTTCTAGGTGATTCTGTCCGACACACCGAGGAGAGCGTGGCTGAAGGAGAACGCGGCCGGCCACGGCGTGATCGGGACGCCCCGCGCCAGTGCCTTTCGCCTTCCAGGCCGACACAGCCAGGTAAGAAGAAGGAGACTTTGTTCACGTACTTGAAACCGTTTTTGAAAAAAAGACAAATGACAGAAATGTTTTATTTTGTGCCGAAGATTTAAAAAGAAATTGGTAAAATACGTAAAAGCAAAATAAAATCACGAATGAGCCTGTTTTCTAAAAATAACTTCCATCACTTTTGTTCTCTATTATTTGATTTTTTTTTGTTTTGTTGATTTTCCACTTTACACAAAGTTGAGATAATATTCTATGTATTCTCTGTTGAATTTCTTTATTTTTGTAGTAATCTATTTTGTCTTATTTGATCATATGAGTTAGTGTTTCATAGTTTTCATTGTATCAGTTAATACGAGCAAACGCTTTTAAAATATTCTTAGATGTGTTTACTATTCAGAGAAGATGCTTCTAGATTGATATATACTTCACTCATTTTCCATTAGTGGCGTTACTGAAATCTGCATCACTGTTTCAATGGTTATAATATTTTAAAGGCTTCTTATTCTCCTTCTGAAAATACCTCCAGAAGGTGGTAATGAGTTACCATTTCATCAGCCATTTTTGAAAATGTTTGTTGACCTGTTGACTTAAATATATATGTACTTAAAGAATTTTCCTAACAAAACCTAGTTTATGTGGAAGAAAAAAATCAAAGTTAAGATTCTAAATTTTTGTTGCAAGCAGTAGCATCCTGTGCTCACACATTCAGCCACTGTCTCCCTTACAGAGCTGAGCCGGAAGGACAGGGAGTGTTGTATGTGCATGGTCGTCCCCCGTGTCTAAAACACATCATTGGCGGCGGATGCGAGGGTACATTCCTCAGCTGATGGCCGTGCAGACGTGCCCTGACCGTGAGCCTCAGCCCTCTGGTTATCTGAATGAGGTGGTGACCGTGGGCATAAGGGCAGGAAGGTAGAGAATCAGCTTCCGGTGTCTTCCCATTTTCAGCAAAACCTGGCAACATGAAACATATTTCAGCTCCTTCGGGCGGTGGGTGTGCTGAGTGCCGGGGAGGAAGGGGAGGGAAGGCGATGCTGATGGCGCCCTCAGGGGGGGACCTGCGAACATGTCACAGTTCGGCGCCCGTTACGTCGTGCAGAAGGGCAAGGCCTAGGGAACGTGACCGGGAGAGAAAGTTTTCGTTTTGAGACTGTAAATCCCGAAGTTTGGATTCACATTCTTAAGCATTTAGGAGCAGTAAGGGATGCATCCGCGTGGACATCCAGTCTCTGGGCAGAAAGTGTCCGATGATGCAGTCATTCCGGACGGCGAGGGGCGTAAACAGGTGACAGAGCGGGAAGCCACGTCAGGAAAGTGGCAGAAGGAAGAGAAATGCAATTTCTCCTGCTCCCTCTGTGCGAATGGGTTAGCGTCTAACCTTTAGATCAGTGATGGCGAACCTATGACACGCGTGTCAGGGGTGACACGCGAACACATTTTTTTGGTTGATTTTTCTTTGTTAAATGGCATTTAAATATATAAAAAAAATATCAAAAATATAAGTCTTTGTTTTACTATGGTTGCAAAGATCAAAATTTCTCTATGTGACACAGCACCAGGGTTAAGTTAGGGTTTTTCAAATGCTGACACGCGGAGCTCTAAAGGTTCGCCATCACTGCCTTAGGCCGATGGCACTCAGGTCTGGAGAGAGTCCTAGGGAAGTACCTCAGGGGAGAGCAAATTCACACCCTGTTGGGGCCGCCTCAGGCCTCAGCCACCTTTACGTACAGAAGAAAATAACCCCTAAGCCATTGCAGAAACCCAGGAAACCATTCCCTTCCCCTGACCCTCATCCTGCATTTAAAGTTTACATTCAGTACATCTATCTAAGTAAATGATACTTCTGTTCTAATAATTAATACTCCTCAAGTTCATCTTTACCTGTATAACAATAACATTGGTTTTCATTTAGTAAGAGATTTAAAGGGAAAAAAAAGTTCTGTATACTTAGGTAATATGCAGTTGTAATGCGTGGTTCCTTTGTAAATTCATTCCTATTTGAATGAAATAGTGAAACCTGGCAAAGTGATGGCCATCAGCTACGTTGGTCTCTGTTGTGAAGTGGTGAACTGCATTGTGGGGCTTGTAGTGCAAACTAATTGTGTATGCTCTGAGGTGTCACTTATTATATATACCCAAGCCTTCCCTTATTTAGAAGTAATACCTTTATAAAATGGCTTGTTGTGCTTTTAGAGCATGATGTACATGGAGGACATTGTTAAAAGGGCATTTTTTATACATAAAGACAAATAATTGAGGGCAAAAGAATAGGATTTACATTAGTAAATCCATATGGGAATGGGAGTGGCCGTCTCAGAGAAGGAAATTGGCAAAGCATGACTTGTAAATTCCAAGCATGATTCATCTGCGAGTGGTCTGATGGGCTAAGGGGCAAACTTTTTGACCAGGTGACCTGTTGGGGTCCAGCCCCAGCAGGCCCTGGGGTTCCCAAAGGTGTGGACGGAGTCGGCGAAGAAGGAATGAGACGGAGACAGCGTTCAGTTGATCAGCATAGCGAGGTTCTCTCTTTATTGTCCTGTTACATCTGTATTTATACCATTTGATCCTATAAGCATGCCTCTATAATCACATCATGGTATGTTTTGGGTAACGTTCTACAGTTCCTTGTTCTTTATCTGACCTTAACCAAAAATCCTCTCTATCTAGTTCTGTGGATTTTAATCTTGTCTAGGTTAATCTCTGTGTTCCATTATAAGGGCTATTCCAAGGTCACTGCTCTACTGATGGGCTACAAGGAAGTGATTGAAGGAGTTTATCCTACCCAGTGAAGGGTATGTCCTCCCAGCCCCGCTGCTTGCCTTCCCTGGGACTGCCCTGTGCCGGTGGGGCTCCAGGGGTACAGGCTTTGGTGCTTTCCCTGGTGGGCAGACCCCTGGGGATGTGGGCCCAACAAGTCCCAAATTTGTTGCCAACAGTCTTAGTCCAAGTTCTTCATAAGTAGTACTTGGTATTTCTGTAACACCAGGGGGTTTTACTGATTTATTCTCTTCCTTGGTCCTGTTAACCCCTAACCTGGGGAAACAACCTTTCTTGGGGAGGTGGTCCTGGTTTAAACACATAGAGCTTAAGAGGGGGAGTGAACATATGTCATATATGCCAGGTCCCTTGAAACGTAAGCTGTGCAGATGTTTCTTCCCTGCAGCGACTGCGTCAGGCAGCAAGCGTAGATCGGCTTCCAGCAGTGACCATCTATGGAACAACACCCGCGTATACAAGCAATCTGTATCATGTAGTAATCACACCCACGTCCGAAGAGTTTCTATCAATTACCATTTTAAAAAAATATATTTTTATTGATTTCAGAGAGGAAAGGAGAGGGAGAGATAGAAATTTCAGTGATGAGAGAGAATTGTGAATCGGCTGCCTCCTGCACGCCCCACACTGGGGATGGAGCCTGCAACCTGGGCAGGTGCCCTGACCGGGAATCTAACTGTGACCTCCTGGTTCATAGGTCGATGCTAAACCATTGAGCAACCCCAGCCAGGCACATAGTGTTTTAAAATATGTAACTGATTTGAAGAATGTGGCATATTTATTTATTTTTAGATTGGGTATCTTTTGACTTACGAGGAAAAAGATTTGTGAACTAATAAAGTGTTATGCCACCGAGCCAGGTATTTCATGAAATACCTTGAAATATACAGGGGGATATGGGTTGAACATTCTTGTATGGTTAATTAGGTATTTAATAAATCAGAAACATGACTCCTTTTGGACTTAATGTAGAAAATAAATTAGATCTATTAAATAAATTACAAAGCATTTTTCACTTGATTTTGAAAAGTGCCTCAGTGTCTGAGCAACTTAATAAATCACAGATCTGGATCCTTTCTGTAAGCTGTCCTAATGCCAGGTTGCTATGACAGGAATTAGACCGAGCATTCCCGAGTGGATTTCACTAATTTCTAGAAGCCTCGAGGGCTGTTTAGATTTCTGGAATGCAAAGCCAGCTTCAACATTAAATCTACTTCACATATTTCTATGTTCTTCTGTCTTTTTCTACCCAGTTTCAGAATGTTAAACCACGATTTCATGAACATATACTGGATGACATGGTGGTGCAATTAAAACGCTTAAGTTATTTTTAGGTAATTTCCTTTTTTTGTGGAGTTACCAAGAGATAGCACAGGACAATCAATGCCTCATAATGACTTTCCCAGAAGGCCCGGCGCTGGCTGTCCCTGCGGTGCGAGAATCGTTTGACGTGTATGTGGCAGTCTGGGTTGGTTTTTTGTTTTTCCTTCAAATTTTGATAATTGCTTAAATAGAATTGCTTGCTTTGCTTCATTAATAAAATTATTTGCTAATCCTGACCTAGGAGGAAATGGAAAAATGTTGCTGTTTAAGGATAGTTCAAAATTCAAACACATGACTTGTTAATAGCTACGAAGTAAGCAGACCCTCTTTTTTCTTTTTTTTTTAACATTTTTATGTATGTATGTATTTATTTTTTGATCCTCACCCGAGGATATTTTTCCATTGATTTTTAGCGAGTGTGGTAGAGAAAGGGAAAGACAGAGAGAAACATTGATGTGAGAGAGATACATCGATTGGTTGCCTCCTGTCTGGGAGGAGCCTGCAACCGAGGTACATGCCCTTGACTGGAATCGAACCCAGACCCTTTGGTCCACAGGCTGACGCTCTAGCCACTGAGCAATACCAGCCAGGGCCAGTCCCTCTTTCTTAAAAATAGTGTTGAATATACGCAATGAATGTCTACACTGGAAATAAGTTTCTTGGTTTATTACTTTTATAAAAATATATAGATAACAATAATTCTACTAGAAAAGGAGCATAAGCTTGCATTTTACTCATCTGAGTGGGGATTCTGACTTTTTTCCAAGCAAGTTTGCATACCCTCTGTCATTTACTTAGTTAGACTGTCCCAGGAAGTGTAAAGGATGTGTCCTGTGCAAAATTTGACTTTAGTGCTATGAACATGGAATTTTACTAGAAGGTCTATTTGCTTGGAGTTTATGGGCCTTTTACAA